GTTCTGATCGATTGGTTAACTCTTTTCCAAGTGGCCCAGTTCAAGTAGTTGTGCTATAAAAGTCATGCCAGTTTAAGTAAACGGGCAACTCTCTTTGCACATTCTGTTGATCTTCTAGGAGAGAGACATTTGAGACTAGATCTGGAAAAACTCTGTACTTTCTGATGAATTAGCTCTGTAGCATACTCCATGTACATGTAGAAACTCACTGGTTTTTGTTTTGCTCTGAAATCTCCTGCACAAGGACAAACAATCAGAGAAGAAAGTAGTGTACATGTAGACATTTACTTAAGAGTCAAGAACCGTCAGTGACATTTATTATTCTAGTGTATGAAGTGAGGAAATCTTTGCAATGACATTGTTTAAATTGCATTTTATTAGACAAGTGCTAGTGACTGTTGCTGTGAACTGCTAGCACATTGTAGTTTGTGAGAACTTTTGCAGTAAACTTTGCAACTTTGATCTGAAGTTTGCATTTTGATTGACAACTTTATAATCAAAGTGACCAGTGTGCAGCACACCTTTGTAATTTCAAATGAACTGCAGAAACTGTTGGAAAATGTTGTGTCCAGCCACACTGTTATTAAAAATGAAAGTATTGTATTGCAAAGATCACTTTCACTTTCTACTCTGACCATCTGCAGTTCATGTGATCTTTCTTTCACACATAAGCCTGGTTCATTGTTCTCATATGCCGCCAACATACCTGGGACATAGCTGCCGGCATGGCCTGGGACACCGTATGGTATATGTGAACATTTATTGCGGTATCATAATCTGTTCCAGGCATTGACTGCTGGCTTACCTGCGAAGTTGAGCTGAATTCAACTTCGCAGGCAAGCCGGCGTTTGTTGGCAATGAAATATTTTATGTGAACATCATCTGGACCATCTGTGGATACAACGTATGACGTAACAACTCGATTTTTTCCCACAATTCCATACTTTACAGATGGAATGGTTGAAATTTGCGCCAATTTGATTTGCACTTTATGCCAATTTGAGTAAGTTGGTGATCCATCACAGATGTGCCAGGACGCACTGAAATAGATCGCCGAATGTTGTCACTTGCATCGGCGATTACGTTGCAGGTAGGTCGGCAGCATTTGAGAACTAGGCTATACAGGTACCATTTGTTATGTGTGGAATTATGAGGCTACTAGTGGAAGGCATATTTCAAACTACCCGTAATTCATTAACTTATGTTTTAAATTGCTTCTTCACATAACAGGAAGGCTTGGCATGGGCTGGGTCAAATGTCAAAGCAAGATGCTATGGAGTCTTACGTCTCTGAATTAAAACAGGTCAGCATACATCGAATAGAACTGCTTCAAGGAAGCATTACCTACTGTAGAATGATAATAGGGTCATTGTCCAGACTCTACTCTCATTAGCTCCATACTGCTCTATGAGGTTAAGATCTTTGTCAAAGACTCATTAACATGAAGAGAAAGCCAGGCACAAAATGTGGATCTCCAAAAATTAAATGTGCACACTTTTTTTAGCCATTAAGGCTGGACTAAGTTGACTGAAGTGATGAAGAGGCAGCGAGAGAGTGATAATCTGGGTGTCATTGACAGACCACAAGTGGTTTTGAAAAATATTTTTATTGGTGATTTTCAAGGTTTCTTACCACGTACTGTCCCCACATGATAGTCATCAATAATTGATCAGAAACTGTAGTTGTTCAGTTTTTGTGAAAACCATTTTATTAGAAGTTCATTTTTTTGTAACACATGAAGTTTTGTCAGAGAAGGTAGTGAGAGTGACTGTCTAGAGAAGTCAATCCCATGCCTCGTTAGTTTGACAGTTTTGACTGGTTTAAATTACAGTATATTTGTAATAATTATTGGTCACATTTTGTGTATTGGCTGCTACCTTCAGTACACGTCTCTGTGTTCATTTTTAGGTAATGCAAAACTTGCCAGATGGCGATGAAGCAGCAGAGTTTAGTGAAGTGCTCAAGGCATTTTATACTTTAGTCTACGAAGGTCAAGATGAGCAACCTCCTGCAATTCTTAAAATGTTTGAGAATGAGAAAAAAGTTCCAGAAAAGCTCAAGGCCAGTAAAGAAATCAAATCAAAAGGACATCACGCAGCACATGACGAGAATGTGCCAAATGGATACAGTGATGAATGTGATGTGAATGGTACTTGCGAGGAGTTCCCAGTTAAGGTCAATGGATTTCCACATAGAGATAGCATGGACATGAGAGCAGGATTTCCACACAGGGATAGTTTGGCACTCAGACACGAAAAGCAGTATGATTTAAATGGCCTACAGTTTTCAAATGCAGTAAATCCAGTTCTTATTATATCCCCGGATGAATTAAAGGAGGAAAGTGATGGTGAATTGAACGAGGGTGAAGATGATGATGATAGTGGAATTCAGAATGGATTGTCTGAAGGTACATGCACTACTGTTGCTACCTTAGATGATACTCATGCACTTACAAAACAAATTGGTGATCTCATGTCTTATAAAAGTAACAGAAACTTTTGGGGCATAGAACACAGGGCATGGTGGGGGTAATCGGGGGTTTCATTAGCATTTCAAGGGCAACTGGTTCCCACAGGAGGACAAAACCTTTTGAACTGAACTTCTCTAGATGGTCAAACCAGGTGGCCAAAATCATCCTCACAACCGGTCAATTTTCCCAGTGCCAGCTTTTGATGGAACAGCTGAGAGTAATTGTGCTTTAGAATGAAAGTTCCTTTCAATCCTTGCAGGGAGAAAGATAGTTCTGACTCCTACTAGGGGTTTAGGGTAGTTGAAACTCCTTTATTATCTTACAGATTACCTGATAATTAATGTGCTAGTTAAGAATGACCTCCTACTGCTCTCAGAAAACCTTAAGGGATCTGATTTATTTATCTCATTTCAGTTCCACCTTTGACGCCAAGTAATGGTGATTTACTGAGACCCAAAGGAAGAAGCAGAGTCATTTTGACTAGTGATGAGAGTGAAGAAGATGAATTTTGTGACTCCTTAGACCCTGAACATCTGAAAGAGTTGCAGAATGGAAATCATAAGGCAGAAGAAGAAGAGGAAGAGGAAGATGAAGAGCTCAATCTTGATGACAAACTTCAAACAGTCAATTCAACAAGGAGCAGCAATTCTACTAGCTCACCAGAACATGCCACAAACTCAACATTGTCAGAATCTGAAAATTCTGATTTAGAAAGCAATTTAAAAAGCTCGCAGCTTTTGACAAGTACACCATATGCCAAACATGTAACGTTTGCTGTTGAAGGCAGTGACTCTAGTACACTCACCATGGTTAATTCAGACTTGTCGGAGGTTGAACCCTTGGTCAATGAGGAGTGCTTTTCTGAAGTCACTCCTGTTCTTGAGAATGAGCAAGACAGTCAAGGTGAAGCCAATGTACATGTAGTTGTGACTGAGTATGAATCATTTATACCTTTTGATGAAGCCCCTAAAAAGCCAGCAGGAATCCTCAAGTCACACCATGTGGTAAGAGAATGTGGAGGGGGTGATGCAAACCAACAGCCATCTGGGCGGAGTCATACAAGTCGTGCACGGCAGTCACATGGAACTAAGAGCAGAGAAGGTAACAGCAGTAATTTGATTCAAATATTCTGTCTTCTGTCGTTTTGACCAGCATTGCTGGAATAGTTTGGCTTCAAGCAGCATTAAATTCCTGGTAGTCCGTATTCGTTTATACACTGGGGTGGAGAGATGTTCTGTGGGGGCATTAATTTTGCCCAAGAACAGAACATGATCATATCAGCTAGGGTTCACACTCGCACTGCTCAATTCAGAGTCTACCATACTAACCATCAGACCACTACATCACCAACAATTTCTGGACAACATCACCAACAGTAACTATACATTTAAAGCAGCAGCTGCCATGATAACAATGGACCTTTTTACTGATGTAACGTAATATCAGCAGTTTTTCGTATTTTTCAAATAAACAAATCACTTCCATAGTTCAGTTTATCATGCTGTATTTAGTAAATCCATGAAGTTTTATAAGAATCCATGCAAACTAAAACATATGGGACCCCAAATTTGCAAAGAAATGTATGCCAAGGTGCAAGCGTTGTTGCCAAGTTAGGGGTCTCATATTTTTTTTTTATGAGTTTGCAACACATTGTAATGAAACTTCACGTATTTGCTAAATTCAGCCCAAAAAATTGAGTAGAGCAGTTGAGTTTTTGTTTGAATGAAAAAATCGTAAAAGCACAGCATCAGTAAAAAGGTCCATTAAACATTTTTGAACCCCGACAGTCAAGTGCTAAAGATTCCTCTCAATTCTTCATCCCCCATTGCCAGAAAGAACTATTAGTAAAATTAATGCTCATCAACTGTTCATTTACCAGGTTCCAGTGCTGTGACTGGAGTGAGCCGCCCTCCAAGAGGACACAGACGGAGAAGTGATAGTGACAGTGAAGATGAACTAACAAGTGATCACACGAGTGGACCAGATTACGATTCGGCAGGCGACAGGGATGAAATCAATGAAAGGATCGTAAAGGCTCTTGAGCGACTACACCAGGACATGAAAAGTGTAATAAGCCGTCTTAGCATGATGGAGGAAGCAGTGTTGTCACGGCAGGTAGGTTGTACTGATCTAATGGCTGTTATTGCAGTTACAGTGTATCAGCAGCTTGACACACAAACGAGGCAGAAGGGTCAATTCTGCAGTGTATTGACCCTTTCGCCTCGTTTGCATGCCTTTTAAAACAAAAGAATATTTGACCACAGACTCAACTGCAATAACAGCTACTGATTACCCATACAAGTCCAAAATTTTCTGAACATTCTTTCAAAGAAAAGTACATGGCATTCATTTTTTAGTGCAGAGTGCACTATTGGGATGGTTTAGGGGGCTGCTGTTCGTTAAGACACTAGGGCACTAATNATATGGTTTTGCAAATCTCATGCTATCCTTGTGGTGCCATTCTCTCAAGAACAGAAGCAATTTGCTCCAAACGCATGCGCAGATTAGTTAGCATCAAAGCCAACTATATGTTAGGTGAAAGATACATTTCATAACATATAAGACACATGCGTTATAGCATTGCTAGTGTGATAAACTCCGTTCTCGAGTTCAGATACACGTTTTTTTTTAATTTTTTGTAATGAGTGATATCACACTCTTGTTTTTGCTGGGGATAGCAGTTATATTTCATAGGAATTTGTGAAAATGAATTTCAAAGTTCAGAGAAACTGTGCAAACACAGGTAAAATTTTATCACCAGTTTCATGTCACTAGTACTTTCAAGCGTTTCATATGAACTTCAAAATTTGTTTTCGACATTTGGTGTTGTTAGAAATGATTTCTTTTGAGGAGATATTTAAAACAGTCACACAGAAGTTTGCAACATGATGCAAATAATCTTGGTAGAAAGTTTAGTCCACTTGTTGCTCAAACCTCTGGTGGATTCCTTCTTAATCTTTTCTTTCTCTACTAATTAGGATGCAGCTTCTAGATCTGACCAGCCATGGTGGAAAGATTATGTTCCATCAAAACCTTTGGTGTTTCTCATCCTTTGGCCTTTCATTGTCAACATTGTCTTTTACTACTTCAGAAGTAGAAGGGTGAGTTTGTGACCAAAAAAAGTGCAAATCAATCAATCAATCAATCAATCAAACATGTGAACCAATGAAACGGAAAATGAGTATGACAGACAAAAGCCAAATATCAATGAACTAGTGAAAAAAAAAAAACATCATCACTGTATACATGTATGATTAAAAAAGAACATTAGGAAAAAAGACCTCATGTCTTTCCTGTACAAAGACAATAATTGTTGTAACCTCTGTAATATTCTTAAAGACTACCTATAATATGCCTACTGTTTTCATGTACTACTTATACATACATTTTTGCTGATTGATTGTATATACACTTCTTTTACTCATTTAATTGTAAATAATTTTAACTTTTTTTGGTTGTGTCCCCAATTAGTAGTTGATACTAAATACATTGACACTTCAATGAAGCTGTTATTATTATTGTATTATTTTTACCTTTTTCAGGAACAAACAAAGTGAACATCGTTAAATAAGGAGATCTTTATGAGGATGAACTAAAATGGTCAATCTATTTGCCTTATTTCCGACAGAAATCACAGCCAAGATAATGAGGACAAACTGTACCAGATGATAAGTCATTACCATATTGTATGTGATGCCGTGGCTTGCATGGTCGGTCAGTAGGGTCTCTTCAACAAGAGCAGTTTTTAATTACACACGACAAGTGGATGTGAAACTGTGAAAGATGCCCTGGTTACAGGCGATGCAGGGATTGAACACAAAAATACATGGTACTTTACCAAGGTTCAACCAGGTGGTGACACCACCATCTCTGGATTAAATTTTAGTTGGTTGACATTTCAAGGGTTAGGTTACAATTCATTGGGTTTAAAAAGTTAGTTCAAGTTGCATTATTAAAAATGCGACGGCTACATGTATACTATAATTCCAATTACATCGCACATTAGGAATGAGAAGGGCCTGTTAGAAATGGAAGGGGTCCAGAAACAGGTTAATAGATTGAAGTAATTACTTTTTAAAAGTTCAAAAGCTCAGGTTTTGACAGAACATCTCAATAATGGGAACCTAACTTATCTTTAGAGTGTTGTGTACACCAGGCACTTCACGGGAAGTTATGGTTAGGGAGAACATGCTTCATAAACTTCACATCCAAATGCTTGCTTGGCGTATTTTGTTGATCTTGTCTAGTCTTCTTGATGTTCAATTCAAACATGCTCAATCTTGTTGACACCATACTTGTTAATTATTGTGAAAAATGATTATAATCGTTTTTATATGTAGTCAATTAATTTTCAGTGGGGTTGTTCTATTTCTATTTTAGTAAATATTATTGTAACACAATTAGTTCCCAAAATGAGATGGGTATAATTTACCTGAGGTAAAAAAATTGTACTCACATTCACATTAAGAGAAGTAACTAGTGCTTTTCATTGAAGGTAAACATTTCAATTGCAGTCTTTTTCAGACTCTTGTCTGGCACATAATGGAAGCAAGTAACACTTTTCATTCATAAAACTCACACTCCAAAATTAATTTTGTATGCTTTGTTTATTAATAATAGATATATTTACTGTATCTAACTTAAATTAAAATGGAAATCTTCCATGAATCTTAGGTGGAAGCAGTGTACCTGACTGCTATATACAGACATTATTTTATAATTATATTTATGGATAAATATCTCCCAGGGCTGTATGGGTCAGTGCACATTTTAGGGACAAATGATCCCTTCTATGAACTTTTATGATTTCACTAAATGCAGACTCGTTCTTTATCATTGCACATGCAACAATATACATACTATACATGCACTGCCATCAACAATTATATTATATCATGTCAAGTGTCTTACAAACAGCGACAATATTACTTACCAACTGTATATTTTTTTCATAAGGCGTAATTACATTTTCAGTGTTTTGGTAGGGTTAAGCTACAGTTAACAGGTGGTGGAAACTCTGTTAGACACTGTTTGAGATGTACCATGTAGTGACAAAGACCATTGTGACAGGGTTGCCACAGGTCAGGAAATGGTCAGGGAAAAGTCAGGGAATTTTATTTTGAGTCAGGGAAAATAGATATTGTGAAGAAAAAAGTCAGGGGAAATTAAAATAGTTTAATAAGGCCGATTTAATACTATTGAAGGCTGCAAGAAACATTTGGGTCACTGTGATCTCAGTGATATTTTCCCTTAATGAAAAAGGAAAATCTGTTGAAAATTATCACTCTTAATGAATGATTGGAAGAAGTAGTCCCCACTAGACCTGCCGTTTTGGATTTCTTTGGTTGGAGAAATTTTATTTTTAGCTGAGATAAGTCAGGGAAAAGTCAGGGAATTTTGAAAAGGGATGTTTATGGTAACCATATGCAAACATTTTGAGCATTTTTTATTTTATTTCAGTTTCCTGGCATTTGTGTCAGTCCCTTCATCAGGGCAGTGTCTTTTTATTGCCAACAAATATCTGCAAAACTTCCTGAAACAGTGTTTAGTAGAGATTTCATCCTCATACCATTAGTTGAAAACATTGTTTTAAAAAGATATCTCTGCAGACAATCACAGTTAAAACAGGAAATGTTCCTTTTAAACTGTTATATTCATTACATGGTCGATTGATTGTGCAAACTTTACATTATTTAATGAAAAAGAACTCTGAAAGATTAATCTTGTTTGAAGTTGGTTCAAATTTATTCAGTATTCAAGTAAAAAAAGGTGATAATAAAAGACTTAACAGTCATTAAACTCAAATCTGTATACAGTCTTTCTCAAAGAAGTTGATAATTTTCTGTGCAGTGTCATGATCCAAGCTACAGTCCATCAACTCTTCCTCAGTGGCCTGTGACACTCGTGCCACAGTCTTGCAACCATCCTGTAGAACCAAGCATTCTTTACTTGCGTTAAGAGAAATGCACTTGTTCATTTTACAAGATTTACAGAGTAGTGAAGCTTGCATCTTCTTCAGGCTGGTTTTCACTATCGCATAAGCATAGGCATAAGCTCACATACACAGACACAGTAAGATGTTGACAATTAGCACCTTTTGTTGGGAGATTGCCCTAACAAAAGGTGTTACTTGGCAGCATGCTACTTCAACTGTAGGTTGCTTATGCTTCTTCCTTAGTGAAAACCAGCCTCTAGGGACCATGGGCTGATGGTAAGGGAAAAGAAACATTAACACCATTTCTTAATGTTCAACTTTGAGAAAGGTGAATTGATCAACATGACACAAGCATGGGACAAAGAAAAAATCCATGAATCAAACCCATGACCTCCCGAACACGGTGCAAGCAGTCTGTCCACTGAGCTACGAGAACTCGTGGTGAGCAAGCTAGGTCATTTAGCTGAGTTCATATGTGACAGGTGTCTTGCATACTGTCAGGATGAGCACTGTCAGAGTCAGTGTAAGTGATTGAGGAGGCTGAATTTTAAGCTCGGTAATGAATTTTTGAAACGTGAATTGACCAACATGACACTAGTGTGGGACAAAGAAAAAATCTGAGTCCATGACAAGATTTTTTTTTCTTGTTCAACTTTGTTTTACTTTGTAACACTCTTCTCTCTAGTCTACAAGAAAAATTCATGGAGCACTTCTTCCTCTCATCTTCCCTAATGGATTAAGTTTGAAGTTGAACTGAGTTTGAGATTAAATTGAATTAACATAAAATTTTTAATTTTGTATCTTTGTTGTGGGAGGAGTTTTGAAGAAATTGGAAGGAAAGAATGAAAAAAATTGGAGGATCAATAGTCGC